AAAAAAAAAAAAAAAAAAAAAAAAAAAAAAAAAAAAAAAAAAAAAAAAAAAAAAAAAAAAAAAAAAAAAAAAAAAAAAAAAAAAAAAAAAATCAAGACAAAGTTGACAAGTCTGACAAACATGTTAGGGGGGCATATTGACATACAGAACTATGAAAAACACAAAAACAAATAAACAGTAGCAAAAAAAAAAAAAGCTTGAGAAGTCGAGGACTGTAATTACTGTTGGAACTTGGAACGTAATTATTTTTTAATTATTAATTACAGTTGTATTATCTGATAATTCACGAGCACATATCGTATGGCGTACCAAATCCAGATAGGCGACTCGCCGACTTCATATTTTTCCACATTGACTTTAATCATTTTATTTGATTTTGATTTTGATTTTGATTTTGATTTCGATTTCGATTCGCTTCATCCACTTTGTTAATATAACTTCATAACTTCATATACGAAGATAACACCAAAACAGAAAACAAAAGAAACAAAACCAATTTATACATATTACATAGTTGTCAGTCGATTATTATTAAAATTTAAAACAAACACTAAATGGGGTAAGCTCGGTTGGTACACCCCCATAAACTAACTGTTGAAATGCAGACCCGAGTTCGAACCCAGATGGAACCAACCAGATGAACGAAATTCCTGAATTACCTGGGGCCGGTCGATATCTCAAGGCTGTCGCCCTTTAAAAAAAGGGAAACAAACACTCTCAAGAAAAGAAAAAAGGGAAAAAATCAAATTTCATGCTACTTCATGGTGAATATAGTCTGCTAGAAATTTTCCTTTACCCGGCGAGCCGCAGCCAGAAAGGGAGAAAAGATGTATATAGCCACTAAAACTTGTAAGACTTGAAAATGTCATTCTGCATCCAAGAGGGAAACCACAGAGGAAGGCAGAAGAGAGACTCACAAAAGAGACCATAAGGTTCTCCAAAGCGCGGCTCCTAAGAAACACGTCGCGGAAATTGAGAGGCTCATTGCCCACATCGGCATCATAAAACAACGCCTGCACAGAAGCAGCAAACAGCAGTCCAACATCCGTCAGGACAAGATTCCGGCAAATCGATCTGAATTTCTGAAAACGATAATTGCGATGAACGTCATGGAAACCAAGAGGGATAAGAATCTCACTTCAGCTCCTCCAAAAACGACTTGCCCGGGCTGCACAGCCGGACGAGCCCAGTAGCCTATAGCTTTAGAGTAAGTTTCTACCTGTCTGCATACGCACCAAACTTCCTGCCTGCCATCTCCGCAGCCAGGACACTCACCCAGCCTCCCACCCGCGGACTGACCAACCGCTTCCTGTCTAAGCTATCGACCCCCCCAATCTCGTCTTGGAGGTACTTGTGGTTAACTGCTGCATTGCCTACACCAGAGAGAGCGGAAATTCATGCCATTGTCACATCTACTGTCATGGAATAAACAGCAAAACAGCAATGAATCTGGTCTTAGAAAACACAAAGGGGAGGCCTGCTCATACCCCCCCCCCCCCCCCCCCTGAAGGCGGGCTCTTACGCCCCCCCAAAAAAAAAATAAGAAGAAGACCGGGTTCATGAATGCCGAAACAGATTGGTGCTCTGGAGTGTCGCTGACTCTTGTTAAGCACAGAACAGATGACGTCAACGTGTTAGTTAGGCCAAGGCGGTGTTTGTACTTCAGAACACACGACTCCGGTCGTAAAGAGATCCCAGATTCAACAGATAATGCCAACGTGTTAGTTAGGGGCCGGGTGCTGCTGGTGCTACGTTTGTACTTAGAAAGCATGAATGTGGTCGGACGAAAAGACCAGATTTATGTCTCCTTAGCACAAACATAGCACTCACACCCGCAGGGCCAGACAGTTAGATCCAAAAGAGGGAGGATGGCAACAAACAACGAGGACAAGCAACTGGTTAGTCCACACAGCCCTAATGTCTTTCCTCAAACACAACACACCGTCATCATGAATGTATCTGCCCAGCAATATTGCTTGCATACGTTCATGATCCGGGTGAATTGAGTTCAGCGGTGGACAAGTAGTCATCAATCCTCCTCCTCTGAACAAGGTTCCATGGTACTGCATGTGAAATTGCTACAAAAAAAAACATACATCACACACACACGAAACAAACAAACAAACAAACAAACAAACAAACAAACAAACAAACAAAAGCACCCTACCCACCGACCCCCCCCCCACGCGCACACACCTACACACACACACACGAAACAAACAAACAAACAAACAAACAAAAGCACCTACCCACCCACCCCCATGCACGCACGCAGGTACACACACACACACAACACACACACACACACACACACACACACACACACACACAAACCGACACATTTTTACCTGTACTTGTCCATTATTCGATACTCAGAGCACATGCCTCCTTCCCCTCTTTGTTGCTATGCTCACACAGACTATACTGATGCTGGAACAAGCGCAATCAGGCACAGGTATTTGGGTTTCTTCAATCATAAATGACGAAGTTGTGTACTTGCATTTTTGTTTCATCCATACACAGAATTAATTGTATTGTATTATAATATAACTACGTTACCAGAGTGGCCCGGGGCCAATTGCCCGGCCGGGAGAAAAATGAATACAAAAAAATAATAAAAATGAAAAGAAAATTGAAAATTCCATTTTTATGATTTTTTTATTTTTATTTGGCGAAGAATTTCGATGTGACCCTGAGGCAAAAGTTGTTCAATTTATGTTTCTGCACAACATAGTTTTTTTTCCCGGATTTTTTTTTTTGGGGGGGGGGGAGAATTCTTCTCGAATTTTTTGGGGGGAAAAAAAATTCTTCACAGGTACCTTACCTGGCCCACCCGGGCAACCAAGGTGACCCCGCCACCCCCTGCTGGTAACGCAGATTATATATTATATTATTATTTGAATTTATTTCATTGAATTACTATAATAGCATAGTGTGAACTTCATCACCAGTTACTTCAACTGCAAAAAAAAAAAAAAAAAAAAAAAAAAACAATAAAGACTTGAAGCACCAGTACACCACACATCGGCCCGCAGGTGTCAGCACAAAATCCGCACCACTTCCGAGGCCGCCAATTTTTTTTTTTCAATGGCACCCCATGCCACACGGCCCCTCCGGGTTTCGCTTGTGGCAACAAAAACTTTCTCCGAGGCTGGGGCCGTGTACTAGCGGTTTGAACAAAGTAAAATGAAGACTGTCCAAACAGGCTAGCTCAGTTGGTTGAGCACGTAAGTGGCACTCAGGCGATCGGGTTCGATACCCAATGTCGTCCTCGGGATCCCCACGGCCTCCTGGGAGATGCTTCGGGTTCACCCGCGGAGATTGTTGGCTTGGGACTCCTGGCTGGTGGTTTGTACCATCCCATCCCAGGTGTTAGGGGCTTGGGTACTGCTCCCCGCACAGAGCAGGGCTAGGTAGACGTAGAGCCAGAACCTTAGGATAGCTTTACTTCTGGTTAGTAAATTTTAGGTAGTCTTTAGACCCTACCCTCTTCACCCAAATAGAACGCCCGGTTATTATAGCTGTATCTGGAGTCTGGACTGAAAAGTGCACCAAATACGGCTGGAATGACCGAGCGTTCTATTCGGGTGAAGACGGTAGCCCTAAGATCCTAGCTCCGATCTCGTCTTGAACCAGTGGCATAGCTTGCTTCCTGTCGTTGCTGGATGAAGGTAGGGATTATGGTCGTACTACTAGACAAGGGTAGGCAGGTAGTTAAGGATGAGGTAATTACAAGATTCGAGAGAAGAAAATAGGCTAGCAAATACAGCTTGTCCCCCATGTGAGGAGAAGACAGCTGTTACGTGTAGTTAAAAAAAAAAAAAAAAAAAAAAAAATGAAGACTGTCTACGTAGTGCCAAGTCTCGAACCATATACTTTTAAAATTTAAATAGAGCTGCCCTATGAGCCGTAGGCAGAAAGGGGGAAAAAAAACAAAAAGGACAAAGAGACTGGGTGCTGTGACAGACAGACTTGCAATCAGACTCGCTTTCTTCTCACCTCGCATGCATACAAACAGATGGCATTCCACACTGGCGCTGGGCGCCCACACAAAGCTGAGAGATATTCAAGGCGAAGACACAATTCAGATACACACTGTCTTCCATTTAACTATGGCGCCTGAGCGCTTATACATCCCTCTTCACCTCAACTGTTCACATGCACTTCCACTGGATCTCCCTGGATATCCCTCGCACACACACTCAGTACCGAATACACACACACTGAACTCTGTCTCTAACTACAGCGGCTATGGCCGCCTAACCTCTACTGGCTATGGATACTCTATCTCCCTTCAGCCCACTTCGACCTCGGGCATCTGACCACCTCGCACAAGACGCTATGGCAGCGCTTCCGCATGGTTCACGCAGGGAATGAATGAATGGCTGGACGCTGCCTCTTGATTTATACTTCTGTAAGTCGTTGGTCTGCCCTTTTCCACCGGGCCCACGGTGCACAGTCCCACATGGTACTTGCTGACTGGACAAAGTGAGACTGAGACTGGGTACCGCTGACTAAGCGAAGTACTCACCACTTGCCCAGTTGCCTCTGGTCTGCTGTGAGGAACGTGAGAAAAACTCGAAAGGCCACTTCCGGACCTTCCGGAAGTCTGTGGACCTGCCCTTTCGGGACTGTAGCAGCTACGACCTTGACCTTTCAGAATTGCTACAGCTACGGCCTCTACACAACTATGACCCCTACTCGACAGACCTACAGATCGAACCCCTACGGCTACACAGACCTACAGACCTACAACAGACAACAGTCAACTACCAAAACACAGGTCATGGGTTCAAACACACAGGGGTCGACTCGATACTGTACACAGGTGTGGTATGGTCTAAGGTATCGAGCCCTGCGATCTGCATCAGCTACTGCTAAGGTGAAAACCGTTTCAGACTGTTCCTGCAGAGTTCCATTCAGAGCTTCACCGACTCGTCAGGAGGCTGATACATCGTTTGTGAACTTTTTTTTCCATTTTTTCGTTTTTTTCCCTTGTTTTTTCCTTGTTTTCCCAGTTTTTTTCCTCGTTTTTCCTTGTTTTTTTTCTTTTTTCCTTCTTTTTCTCTATATAAAAAAAAATCCTTTTTTTCTTTTTTTCTTCTTTTTCTCTAAAAAAAAAAGAAAAAAAAAGGGCAACATCCTTGAGATAATATCATCGAACAGACCGGGCCCTAGGTAGGTAATTCAGAATTGTTCTAGTATTTCACTCATATGCTGCTTCCAGCAAAGTTCGAACTCGGGTCTGTATTTCAACAGTTCAGGGGGTGTACCAACTGAGCTAGGGTAAAGTTTTTTTTTGTTTTTTTTTAATATTTGTAAACTTTGACTTGCATAGCGATAACGATTATAAAAAAAACACATAAAAGAAAAAAGTTCAAAAAACTTAAAAAAAACAAAATCCCAAATACCGTCTGGGCCTTCATACTGGAAATATTTGGGTTGTCGTCTCCTTCCGCAGACCGCGAGGCAGCTCCTCCATCGTCTATTGTAGCTCCGCTCTCGTCCACGTGCTCTTCCTTTCCCTTTTTTTCGTGTCCTTTCTCCTTCTCCTTCTCCTTCTCCTTCTCCACAGTACAAGCATTCTGAATGTCCTTCAGTGCTGTCAGCCATCCCCTCAACGCCTTGATTCGCTCCTCTCCATGCGCAGAAATCGCCACTTCCTCTAACCGCTTAATCGCGTTCTTGAAGTTGTTGTACTGCTTGCCAGACTGCAAAAATAATGCACCACCAACGACACCAACCGCAAAAAAAAAAAAAAAAAAAAAAAAAGAAGGATTTTTTTTTGTCAGTTACGCACGCTTCAAGCTCGTACCCTCATTGTCCTATGCGCCCACATTCCCCTTTCTCCTACACACCTCCATTCTCCTATCCAACCCAGCCCTCCGATGCAACCCGGCCCTTCGATGCGACCCCTATGGATGGACCCTCATTCTCCCGTGCGCCCTCATCCAATGCACCCTGGCCCTTCGATGTGCCCACTATGGATGGACCCCCATTCTCCCGTGCACCCCCATCACCCCGGCCCTTCGCTGCGACCCCTATGGATAGAACCCCATTCTCCCAGGCACCTCCATCCAGTGCACCCCAGCCATTCAGCGCACCCCCCATCCACGAACCCCCATTCTTCCGTGCACCCCCATTCTCCTACGCACCCCTCGAATTCTCCTAGGCATTCCTATTTTCCCCCACGAGTCCGTTCCTGTCCTCCCTCCACGTAGATGTGTTACTCCCCCGTACAACCCCATTGTCTCAATACACAGCTCGTGGGAGAGAATCGGAACGACCCAGGATAATTCGGGGGGTGAATAGGAGAACGGGGCTACATGGGGCTTCCCATGCAACCCCATTGTCGCGTATGAGAATGGGTATATGAAGGAGAACCGCCGGTGTGCGAGAGGGAGGACGGGAACGGAGTGGGAGGGGTGATGGGAGTTCAGAAAGCGCAAATGGGAGGGTGACGGAGGGAGGATTGGGTTGTGACAAAGGATCCGGATGTGGCAAAGAGAACATGGGTGTGTGATGGAGGGAGGATAGGATGGGGGAACAAACGACAAGGGGAGGATGGCGTAGTTGGGACGGAGGGGGCCATAGACTCATAGAGGGACCGTGACGGATAGGAGAACGGGGGTGTGTGACCAAGTGAGGATGGGGGGTACGTGACAGACGGAGGATGGGAGTGCATGATGTAGGGGGGGGATCGGGGGGGTGTGACAGACAAGAGGATGCGAGTGTCTGACAGAGGGAGAATGGGGGCGTGTGACGGAGGGAGGATGGGGGCGGGGATGTGACGGAGGGAAGATGGGATGTGACGGAAGGAGCAAGAAGGTGAGCAAGAAGATGAGGTATCTTTCGAGGGGATGAGAAAACAATACATACAACTGTCCTTGAAAGTAGACAAAGCAGCACGGACGCCAGGCACGATAATGGGGCAAAAGCTGTTTCCACATTAAGTAAAAGACGCAGAGAAAGGCGGAGGGGGAGGGAGAAAGATTCTTTGAGGCAGCACCACCATGTCACCTATGAAAAAGCCATTAGAGGACCAGTACATCTGTGCCTTTTTTGTACGAGGCGGTTTCCACTGTGCAACAAGCTTTGCCAAAACACAAGCGCGACATTTTGGTTTTAGTTTTGGCTGGCGCCACCAGCTGTTTTGATCCGGTCGCCCTGAGCCTCCGATTTTTTTGGGAGAGAGGCAAGGCTCAATCGTAATTCTTTTTCAAGTTGGCTGTGGCCATGTACTTGTGGTTAAGTTTAATGTCGTGCGGAAGGTACGTCCTGAGTGTAGGGCTCAGCACAGGACACTACCTTAGATCAGTCGAGTATTATGAATTTATGATTTATCCAATTGATTTTTTTTTTGTTGTGGGGG